AGGCCGGGGCGGCCCCTTTGGCTGGGATCCCCTTTTTGCTGGGAAGATTGGAGGCGGCGGAGAGGGAGGCTTGAGTGTGGGGACGCGCAGGAGCCTCGGACCCCACCCAGTCCTCGGGTGGGCGTGGAGGCGGGCGGGGACGGCGAAGGGTCTTAGGAGGGAAAAGAGAGGCGGGGCGGCAGGGGGCTGGTGAGAAAGTGAGGACTATGCGAGAGGCGCAAAGGAGGACAGGGTGGAGATGAAGGAGAAGAAAGAGGCGAAAAGAGGAAGAAAGTGACCCTGACCTGCTAGCTTTGGCACCGCCAGTTCTCCCTCGCCCCTCAACCTGGTACTCCTTTAGTTTTAGAAAAAGGACATCGTTTGGACAGGCTTTTCACGCCCATTTCGGGTTCCCTTCTGAAGGAACGCGGAGGCTCTCCAGGAACGTCTCCCCCGTAAATTGGTCCAGAGAGCCATTGGTTTCCTTCATTACGTCAAGCTTTTCTTGAATATCTCAAATGTTGAATATTTTTCCATCAAGTTTTGAGACATAAACAATGAACATTTGAAAGCTTTTATGTTTTTAATGGAAATAAAACACATCTCAAGGAATCCATCCGGACAGAGCCATTTATAGGAGAGTGGTGCTTTATGGAGAATTTATTTTCAATTAATTTCAACTCAGTTTTTGTCTGCTCACTTCTGTTCAGCACTCCCAAAATATCCCGTGTGACTGTTTAAAGGTATGGGAGTAGGACATGAAAAAGAGGGAAAGAACATAAGGAATTAGTTTTCCTCCTGGCAAAGTCCCCTAAAGATAATGTGGATTAACTAGAAGAAAAAAATAGTTCAGAACAGCGGCAAACTTTCCCCTCTGAAACAATCTTGCCTAACGGAGGAGATTCAGCAAAGTATTTTTATCTTCATCTTTATGTCTCAAAGAATTTCTCTCAAAGTTTAAGAAGCTTATTCCCAAACTGTGCTACAGTAACCTCTCACCAATGATGATTCCATTTACAGCTAATGACTTGGAGATTTACGAGCTATCTTCCCAACTCTCTTCCATTTGAGGTCTAATATAGTTCTAATCCAGGATTCATTTAATGTCACATTACACTAAAGTCACTGTATGTAGTGGGGCATCATATATCTACATATGAGAGAGAACTGAAGAGACAAAGGGTGTACATATTTCTAGCGTGACTATGTAACTTACTTAGACAGAAGGACTTTAGCAGAAGTGCCACCAGCAGAAGCTTAAAAAGTGCTTGTGCGACTGGGCTTAATTCTTCTTGCACCTCTGCCTTTGCCATGGCTATGCTAGCCTGTTGGGGAATGAGAGACGTGGAGCAGAGCTGGGTCACCAGAGTCACACAGGCAGAACTGCCTGGGATCAGCTGACAGCTGACTTAGATAGGTGAGTTCAGGCAAGATCAGCAGAGTTATTTCGGTTGCTCTAGACAAGTGAGCAATAAACATTTATTTTTGTATGCCATTAAGATTTTGGGGTTTTGTTATTTAATATTATTGTAGCAATAGATAACTGATATACTAGGTTTCCTTCCATTTCTAACTATTGTAATACAGAGTATGACACCATTTTTGATGTTTGCTGACAGCTTTCAAGCTTTGCCACACCCCTTGCGTCGGCCCCAAATCTGACCAAGCTGATAGCCTACTGTGCTCCTTCCTTTGGTGCCTGCAGGATGTTCAAACTGTGTGATCCACAGGCCATGCAGAGGAACCCTCATCCCAGCTCCAACCCCTAACTGCCATAAAAACCCCAAAGCCATTCTCCTTTCCCTGATCTCTCAAGCCATTTTCAGACCATCCTGTTCTCTCCAGAAATCTTCACATGAGTTAAAAAACCTTTCCAAACCCTTTTGCTGCATGTGTGGCATCATCATCAATCTTGACATTCACACCCAGTTCTGAGTATGGGGATACCCATCCTGCTCCTATTCCTTCTGTTCTTGAGAAGTGGGAGAAGTTACTCATATTACACACTGCTGTTTTGGCATAACTAGATAGAAGTTTTACAAATATTTGTTAATTGATATTTATATAAAGTTATCATTTGTCAAGTTTTCCATTTGAATTCTTGAAGGGAATAAAAATGGAAAATAATAACTAATATTTAAAAATGGTTTAGAGGAAATATGGCTTACACTCTAACGTTTCATGACATTAACGCCACAGTGCTGAAAATGTAGATTTGGGGCTACTATTTAGTTTCGTGTTAATAACAAAGGAAAGTGCTAAATAAAGTGACAGGAAAATAGCTTCTCTAGCAACTAGTTAGCACAAATAAGGGCCAAGTAAATGAAACAAGGGGACTTTTGCTTATGTGCAATTAAAAGTAAAAACTTTTTTCAGAATTTAAACAATATTTTGCTTTAGCAATAAGCACTGAAGATTAGTGAAGCAAGAAAAGTGTATAGTCACTCAATTTCAGTCTCACTAAAGGTCAAGTGGACTATTTAAAAACTCTCATTAAGCTTCTTTAATATACTTTATTAAATAGTATGTAAAAATTCCTTAGAAAAATAACCAGAAATGTAATTGTGAGAACATTAATTATAATTAATAATTATGTCTACCAAACTAGAAGTCCAGGGAGAGTTTTGACAACTATCAATTTTTAAAGTAACTGCTCTCCTTCACTAAACAGTACATTAATCCATCCACATGGTGGTTCCTGCAATGTCTAGTGATAACAATGATTATTGTGCCAGAAAAATCCCCAGCTTGGTACCAGATGTCTAAATGTATTTGCTAAAGTAATATGATGCGTCTTCGGCCATGCCACCCTGAACACGCCCGATCCCGTCTTATCTAGGAAGCTAAGCAGGGTCATGCCTGGTTAGTACTTGGATGGGAGACCACCTAGGAAGACCAGGTGCTATAGGCGTAAAAAATAAGAGATTGTAAGCTGACAGGGTTCTTGCAATCTGTGAGGTCAACCAAGGGTTGCCTTGCCTAAAATAAAATAAAGAAATATGATACAGAGTTCAATGAAATAATAAAATATAAAGCAAACTTGTGAAATATGCTAAAATTCTATTTATTTGGGTAAAAGGAGTTTAGAATTCGGGTTAATTTGATTTGAATTGGATTGAAGTTCATCTATGAGGAAAAAAATGTTTGTAAGTAAATGAATAATATTACTTGAATTCCTAGAGAGCATGTTTAACCTAAGTAAAAGAACTAACACATGAAGGATTTTAGTAGTTAACTGTCAACAGGAAAATTGGTACTGCTAATTACAAATGAGTCTTAACACATTCATAAAGCAGCTTGGCTAGATATATGCAGTTTTTCCAACTCTAAATTTAAAAATTATGTGGGTTTGCTATCCAATCGTTGACAAAAGTGTTGTGTTAGAAAGTATATATTTGCTTATCAGGCATAAGATCTTAGAGTTTTTAAATTGTTAATGTAATCGGTTATTTAACAAATAATTACTATGTGTCCATTTATTAGTTCATTCAACAAATATTTATTGAGTCTTCTAGAATATGCCTAACACTGTGTTAGACAATGGATATACAAAGATGAATGAGACACATTTCTTGTTCTCCAGCTCATAGTCTACCCAGACAAGCAGATGATATAAACAATATGATAAAGGCTGTAATAGACATGTGTCCTAAGAAATAAGGAACTGCTAAAGAGAAAGCACTTTGTAGTTAGAGTTAGAAAAGGCTTCCTAGAACAGCTGGCTTTTTATCTGGGTCATGAGGGGCAAGGAGTCATTCTTATTGTGACAAAGTAAAGGAAGAACATTTCAAGCAGAGAGAGTGCATGTTATGTGCAAGACCATGGAGGGAGATGTCAAGACGACGTCTGGAGTTCTGACCTGGGCAGCTTGGCGATTGTAATGCCATTCACTGAGATATGAGGGGTAGATGATGATTTTGCTTGGCCATGTTGAATTTAAGGCACCTTCCATACATTCAAATGGAGCTGTCCATCGGGCATTTAGTTACATGGTCTGTAACACAGGAGAGAGGTTTATAGGTATAGATGTCATTAATTTATAGGTAGCAACTAAAGCCATAGGTGTAGAAAAGACTGCCTAAGAAGAGTGTGTAAGGTGAGGAAAGCACACTGAAGCACACTAACATTCAGACACCAGTAGAGAAGGAGAAGCCAGCAACAAAGAAGGAAAGATGGAAAAGAAAAACCAGGAAAGTACGGTGTCAGGGAGGCCTGGTGAATAGTATCAACACTGTGGAGAGATCAAACAAGAAGTAAAAACTGTTTGAGTTTATCAACACAGAAGTCATTGGTGGCTCTGTTGAAAGCAGAGTATGTAGGTGAAAGAAAGGCAGAGTACTTCCTTTTGAGGAGTGAGGATGACAGAAAAAGAAGTTGAGATAGTAAGGGTAATGATAAAAGTAAAATAACTTTCAAGAAGCTTGTCTGTGAAGTGGAAGGTAGAGATAGGCCAGTAACTACTTAGAGAGATATGAAAGTATTTTGATGTAGATGGACTAAGGCTTAATCAAGGGGCGCTAAAAGTATACTTTGTGTTTTCCTCTCAAGTGTCTCATTTTATGTGTTCCATTACCCCACTAACAATATAAGCTTCACAAGAATGAATGCTGTCTGTGTAACAGTAACAGAATTCCCATCTTGGAGTTCATTATCTCCTATAACATGAAGTCCGGAGGGAGAGAGCTGCAGGGGTGGTGCAGTGAATTAACAACATAATGCCTCTGGATCAGCTCTTGGACTTCCCCCTTGGCTGCAAGA